TTTCTTATCAGATCATCATTGTTAGTGAAGATGAAGTCTAGTGTATTCTCCAGTCTAGTAGGCTCTATTATTTGCTGGTTTAAATTTAATTTTGTGCAGAGATTTAAAAGCTCGTGTGAGTGTGAGTTTTCATCAGAGCTGCCTCCTGGTGTTATTACTGCAACAATATTATTTGCTATATTCCTCCATTTTAGGTGCCTTAAGTTGAAATCCCCCAGGAGCAAGATGCTGGGTGCAGGAGCTGGAAGATTTTCCAGACAGTGGTCAATTTTTAACAGCTGTTCCTGGAATTGCTGGGATGTTGCATCCGGAGGCTTGTAGACTACCACAATGACTAGGTTTTGGTTCTCGACCTTTACTGCTAAAACTTCCACTACATCATTTGAGGCATTAAGCAGTTCTGTGCAAACAAGTGACTCTGCAATGTACAGGCCAACCCCCCCCCTTTTGCCTGTTCACTCTGTCACATCTGTATAGGTTGTAACCTGGGATCCATATTTCGTTGTCCAAATGATCCTTTATGTGGGTCTCAGTGAAAGCCGCAAACATTGCCTTTGCCTCTGCAAGCAGTCCACGGATGAAAGGTATTTTGTTGTTTGTTGCTGGCTTTAGACCCTGTATATTTGCAAAGAAGAATGTTATCGGACTGGTGGTATTGTTGGTACTGGGGGGGGATTTTTTTTTCCGGCATTAGTATCTGTATCTGTTGGTTTGGAGTGGAGGCCATCGACTGTGGTTCCACTCCAGGAATGACTGGATTTGGTGTACGATTTCTGCCATTTCCTGCCAGTTTTTTTTTCCTTCCTGGCACTAAAAACCTCTCCCTCTTGAGTGGCTGTGGCTACCCAGGTTTTCCCATGGCCTGGATGTTTTGTATCTTTTTGTCCCCTTTAGATGGTATGCCTGGCAATTTAAGTTATAGCACAGTCTTTCCTGTACTGAAGAGGTACACAGTTCAGGGTGAAAAAGCTTACAGGAAGGGAGTTTGCATTTTCCTGTTGTCATATGGGCATGGCATTTTCTAGGGTGGTCATAGTTGCATCGTCCCAGACGATCACCACTGACAGTTTTGACACAGTTCTTGCAGCTAGCCAATGAGGGTCCCTTGCTGCATCAGGAACTTGCATTTTGGTAGCAAAGTGTTCGGCAAAGAGGTCCACCTTCTCTTGACTGCTAGTAGAGATGGTCCCATCCTGTCGATTTAGAGGTGGAATGAGTTCATCAGGCAGATAACCTTGTCTGTCCTTGACCAGGGACCATCAGGTTTTGGAGCCTACCCTACCTGATGCTAGCTTTCTTTTAGTGTCCACCTCCCATTTAGCAATGGCCCACTTTTGAACGTCACCATATGCCTACAGGCTTGCCTATGCAAGTTCCTGTTATAGGTGGTAGAATGTCTCTTATACCTTCGCCGTGCTTTGTACTTAGCAGTAGCAGCCTCTCTACAACGAAAGCCAAACCAAGGCTGATGTGTAGGCTTCGTCACATTGCCGGTGAGGAATGTGTTCTTGTTGTAGATTAAGGATGTGTCCAGTGACGGTTTTCACTTGGTTGCCAACATTCCCTTGGAGAAGAGCATTCCAATCGGTGGTGGCGAGCTCAGAGCAAAGGGCTGGCCAATTACCTCTTTCCCATAGCCAGGTTGTGCGTGTGGACTCCTCATCTCGCTCTGTTGGGATCTTAAGTGTCGTAAAAACAGCCTTGTGGTCAGACGATCCAACGTAGCCGAGGGGTTGACAAGTGACTATGCCTTCTGCCAGATCACTCACCACTGGATCAAGGGAGGAGCCAGAGATGTGAGTAGGGAAATCAACAATGTTTCTCATGTCAAATACTGCAAGAAGGTCATCAAAGTCCCTCTGTATAAGGTGTTGGTTGAGGTCACCAACAATTGTGATATGTTGACAGTTGTGTTGTAGCAGAAGGGAGTCAATATTTTCCATTAGGAAGTTGATGGGGTCTGCATGTTGCCACTGAGGTCTGTACATTGCACATGCTAGTACAGAGGTACTAGTGTTTATGCAGAGCTCTTTCTTTCTCTCTCTTGCTCTCTCGCTCTTTCTCTCGCTCTTTCTCTCTCTCGCTCTGTCTCGCTCTTTCTCTCTCTCGCTCTTTCGCTCGCTCTTTCTCTCTCTCGCTCTCTCTCGCTCTTTCTCTCGCTCTCTCTCACTCTCCCGCTCTTTCTCTCTCGCTCTTTCTCTCGCTCTCTCGCTCTTTTTCTCTCTCGCTCTTTCTCTCTCTCGCTCTTTCTCTCTCTCGCTCTTTTTCTCTCTCGCTCTTTCTCTCTCTCGCTCTTTCTCTCTCTCGCTTTTACTCTCGCTCTTTCTCGCTCTCTCTCTCTCTCGCTCTTTCTCTCTCGCTCTTTCTCTCCCGCTCTTTCTCTCCCGCTCTTTCTCTCGCTCTCGCTGTTTCTCGCTCTTTCTCTCTCTCGCTCTTTCTCTCGCTCTTTCTCTCGCTCTTTCTCTCTCTCGCGCTCTTTCTCTCTCGCGCTCTTTCTCTCTCGCGCTCTTTCTCTCGTACTCTTTCTCTCTCGCGCTCTTTCTCTCACTCTCTCACATGCATGTGTAGTGCGAGATATGCATGTGTAGTGTTTGAGACAGAAAAGACACCAGTAATCCTAACATATAAAACAATTACAGGGTTTGTTTCTCACAATTGGCAGGACGGTAGTACCTCCCTGGGCGGTTGCTGTCTACCAACCTACTACCACAGGACGGTAGTGCCTCCCTGGGTGGTTGCTGTCTACCAACCTACTACCACAGGATGGTAGTACCTCCCTGGGTGGTTGCTGTCTACCAACCTTCTACCACAGGACGGTAGTACCTCCCTGGGTGGTTGCTGTCTACCAACCTACTACCACAGGACGGTAGTACCTCCCTGGGTGGTTGCTGTCTACCAACCTACTACCACAGGACGGTAGTACCTCCCTGGGTGGTTGCTGTCTACCAACCTACTACCACAGGATGGTAGTACCTCCCTGGGTGGTTGCTGTCTACCAACCTACTACCTCCATCGTTTCTCACTATTGTCCTAACTGCGCTATTTGGGTCAGAAATGTTAATGATCCACACTAAGCGTACTTGGCATTGTAATTAAAGATGTATGAAGCGCACACTGGATATATTGTGTATCTGATTATGGTTTTGAGTGTCTGATTATGAGGCTTCATGGTGAATGGAGAAATGTGATGGGTGGGTGGACGCTGCACATAGAGAGGGAGGCTTGGGGGAAGTAGGACAGGGACGACGAATGGAGAATTATTAGAGATCGAGAATAAAGGTAATAGGGTGGGTGTTTCATAGAGGGGTGGGTTGTGGTGGGGGAAGTTAAAAAAAAAAAAAGCAAATGTTTTTTAAATCTTGTTTATGTAATGGCTGACACTGATATTGCGAAACTTTTTTTTTTATTTACACTAGAAAAGTTGGCAGCTTTAGTTGAATACCCAACCAAATGACTAAGTTTGCTCTCGTGGAAAGAGATAATTTGGGGAAGAGGTATCTAACTTCTTTGGTAGTGGACATGATTTTGCTAGCCTTCACTTGAGAAGACTGAGCTTTTAAAACAAATAGGTCAAGGACCCTAAGGGGAATCACATCTCTAGCTCGTGTTTCCTGCTATGAGTGGAAGGCTTCAGCGTCGGGTGATCTGAAGGCTGACTGCCTTCCATGAAGGGTATGTTTAATAAATGACGTTAATCTCTAATGGAAAATGTTCAAATTTTTCATGTGTGGTTGTCTGACGCAGCAACATTTTGTGATCTTTATGCAAGGAAGGAAATGCTTTCCTAACCTATAAGCATGACTTCAACCCGGGTTCCTTCCCCCCCCCCCACTGGTAACTCCCCTCCAGCTGCTTCATATCACATGTGCCGTATATAAACCCCCATTTTCCGTGCACATGCCGGACTGAATCTCTCCAGGCTGAGGAACTGATTACCAAAAAACTTTTATACTGTTCTCTGTATTGTCCGGAAGTCACCGGCTGGCGAAGTTTCCACAGTAATACCCAAGTGTTCTCATTCATCAACTTGTCCGTTTTTATAAACTATTATATAAAGTAACTGCTTCGGCTCATTTCAAAAGCACAGTCTTGTCTAAGGTATTCTAACCTCCTTTCCCCTGGTATGCGACCCACAGCAGCCGACTAATACCCAGGTATCTGCTTATTGCTAGGTGAACAAGAGTAAGGAAGCTTTACCAACGTTTAAACCTTTGCCGGGTATCAAAGCACGGACCCTCAGTACGCGGGTGGTGTACGCTACCAAACGAGCCACGGAATGAAATTTATCTTGTAACGATTATAAATGTACAAAAAATTACTGTCTTGGTCAAATACTTCCCTACATTATAATTGAAGTCTTGGGATAATCTGGCCTTAAAAAGTTTACAAAAACACAGATCCTTATTGAGCTAGATCTAACTTCTCTCTCAAAACATAATGGACCGGTGACTGTAGACAGTAATTATATTGTCGTTTCATGAAGGGGAGGGGGGGGGAGGAGGAAACTGCAAAAGTTGAGTATACTATCTGAAGGCGTCCAAGAATCTTAAGAATAAAATTAATTTGCAACATTTGCTATTCCAACAACTCGCTCTTGTCAAAATTTCAGAAAAATAAATAAGTTTACTCATCATTAGGGAATGTGCTAACGTTTACAAATGTTAACTGTTGCGCCTCGGATAGTCTTGCCTAAAAGTAAATGGTTTATTTACGAACGTCAGTGAGTGACACTGCATTTTTTGCTCCGTTTTAACACGGTGAAATATACAATACAAAAACGTTAGATACCTTGTTAAATAATTCCCATCATTTTTAATAGTTTAAATGGTAAAATCAAGGCTGTTCTGTATCTTCCGTAAGCTCTAAAATACTTGCAAAAAGACTGCTCGAACAAGAATAGGTCTAATCTCTAATCGTGCAATTTTTTTTGACTATTTTCAGAAGCTGGGAAATACTAATCTCTAAATTCAGCCTCGGGAACTAATACCAGTGTATTTCAGATGGAGGACGGTGTATTAGTGGCTGTGGCTAATGCACTCTCGGGAGTAAAGTTCTACCAGTACAACGGGTGGAGGTTCATTCCCACCACACGTCAACACACTGGTGGCCCTTTCAGTGCTGGCGTTACCTCCATGGCTGCACTCTCCTGGAACGGCAACATCATGATGGGTGAGTGGATCAAGAGGTGTTATGTGGAATGGGAAAGAGCGTTGTTGTGGATGTTCATTATAAGTACTAAGCTCTGGCAGGTCATTCAGTGCAGTAAGCGAGGCATGCTCCTCTATCAACAAAAGACTGAAGTTAACCTACCTATCTACCTACCTGGGTTGGGGGGGTTAAATTTGATTGTATCGGTTAATGCATGGGCGCGTTGGCAGTGGTATATACGAGGAAAGGTACTTTAACAAGGTGAGCGAGGTGATGGTAAAATGTTAAGTGCATCAGGTCATGATTAGTGAGCAAGGTGATAAAGATGGATGAAACATTGTTGTAAACGAATGAGTTGGTCTGTAAAGCAGGTGACTGGGAGAGGGAGGAAAACATTCAGATGATGGATAGCTAGCCAGATAGCTTAAAAATTTGGTAAAAGCGTTAGACTCCAGAGGTCCTTGGTCAGACTCATAGACGACCAAATGACAACCCCACTTATCGCAACAGTAAATGCTTACCTGGGATTCTCCTATCCATAGCTAGGTTTAGGCTGCGGAAAATTAGCTGAAGTATATATTTGCCTCAAAAGGATGAACACAGTCTGGACACAAACTTGTATTTTAAGATTGGAAAATAAAAATAAAAAAAATTCTGGAGGTGTGACCAACCACAATACGGAATACTCTTCCCCACAAGTATCTTCTCTTTACACTTTGACTTTCAGCAGAGACACTACTCTAGAGGTGAGTGGATGTTGTGTTAGTATTGCAGAGGGTGTAGGGTTCATTTGGTAGAAGGCTATAATCAGATTTGAAGGTTTGCCTGACAATTTTCTTAAGATTAAACTCCTGATAAGGTTTGCGATATGAAAGATTTCACTTTGATTTTCTTTAATTCAGCTCCTGAAACTTCTTTAATTTACCACAAAGGCATAATGTAGTACCATAAACTCCCCTGATTACACATAGTGAGGGGCACTAAGGAGTCTGATTCAGTTAAATTTGGAGTTTTAATACCTATAGTAGAGTAACACTAGTCTACCTCTTTACCCGAATGATTCCAAAACTGTTTGCGTCTTTCTCCACTAGGAGTTTCATATGAGAGCAGAGAGTTGGTGTAGAGAACGTATTGCCCAGCTGAAGAATGAAAACCTGTTGACGCTGGTGCACCAGGTGGAAGGAACCCCGAAAGTAGCTCAAACCTATACCTTCACTGTGCCTGTGACCATCGTTGGCAACCTTAATGTGCAAGGGCAGAGTAGTGCCCTCCAGGTAAATTTAATTTTTTGCTTCCTCTTCACGATACCTTAAAGCTGGTGAACTGTTCTTGATTCAAAGAGCTGAAGCAGTTTCCCCTTCATAGGATTTTTTTTATTAACCTGTCAACAAAGCCACCGGTAATAATTTAGGTACTAAGTTATTGGGGGTTACAGATTTACATTAGAGGACGCGACCAGTGGCTCCCTGACCGTGTGAACCTGCTGGAGAGCCTCAGGGTGATGCTCTATGACAAGCTGCAGCAAGTGCGTCAACGTCTTGACGATACTATACCCTTGACTGGCCCTACCACCTGGCCTGGTAAGATCTTGACACTGATGCTCCAAATCTTTAAGGTATTCAAATCGAACGATTGTACTTAGTGCAATACTATGAATTAATATAGTTGACTAAGAATAATTCCTTGTAGTTCATCATATATCGTTATCGTTCAGTTGAGTACTTCAATTATAAAGGTGCATAAAACAAACAAGATAGAAGTTTTCCTTGTACGGTATGTCATAGAAATATAAAAATCTTCTTAAGATGCTAATTTTTTTTAAGGCCATGAACAGAGGTGTATAAATTTAACTTTGCGCAAAAAAATTTGTTAAAGCATAGCGTACTTATAGTAAAGGCATTTTTACGTAAAGAATAGTTTCAGGCGGCATTTATTAGGCTGCTGTTGTGTACCTGCTAATCTGTTGATGGTTCTGGGGGTTGTGGCCCGGTCCTAAATCAGACCCCCCCCTTCCTGCTTACTGGTCTGATCAGTAGCACAACTGGCAATAACATTTCTGTCAACAATAATCATCAGCATGCAGACTAAAATTTCCCAGGCTAATAAAGGTCGGGCGGGGCTGGGGCTGATGCAACATTGGCACAGTCAAGTTGAACAGCATGAGGCTGCTAACCCTGGGATGACACACTTTCAGGTATATTTTGCAGGATTTTGCTTGGGTAGATGTGCATAAAAAGTAAAAAAGGTCGTAGTTGTAATACTCGTTCGAAATGTCTTCCTCAGCTGATTTGCACTTAGCCCATTTAGAGGCTCGGGGGACTGACAGCATTTCTGTGGTTGACCTTCTGGGATCTCTTGTTAATAACAAGGTCATGGAAAAAGGAACGTGTATATCTAAGACTATCCGACCTGTCTCATCTGAAGCTTGACCACATTCACTTCCAGCATATGGAAATGCAGGTGCGTCAAGCAGAAATTAGCTACGTATTTCACTTTGGGTTAAGTTTAACTTTAGACTTTAAACCATGTGGCTGTTAATGTATTCAATTTTTCATTAAATGTCATACTCTGGATAGTTTTCAAATGTATGATGTGCTGTACTTTGTCCTGAAGCTGTGCTGCTACAACTGATTCTAAACTTTCTTAGAGATTAAGTTTAGATTAACTTGAATTTTTAAAGGTCAGGCGTTTCTGTAAATAGTATAAAGCTGTAAAATAAGTTTATAATTTCAGAGGCGAATGTGGAAGTAGCTATGCTACAGAATCGAGCAATAGCTGAGTATGTCACCCTGGGAGGTACACACACAATGAGTGGCCAGGTGACTTTTCTTAGGGTCATCAATGCTTCGCAGGTGACTTCAAGTGGAACACTTGATACAATCTTTGTCAGCCCCAGCACACTGCTGCTTATAAACACCTCACAGACGCATACTGGTAAGTCTGCGTCTGTGCTTTAAACTGTTTACTGCAGGAAATTATGAAGATTTGCCCCCATTACCCTTGACTTCTTAAAATACGTCCCATTTAAACTAAGCATACTCTTGATTCACTTCTCTTAACTTTATGTACTGTGTTTGCCCATACCAATATTTCTAACTCAAAATTTCGCTCTAATCTGCCCACGTCTTTCTTTTGTCCAATACACACTTTGCTCCCGTCACCATACACCTGCCCTCAATTATCACCACACTTGTCATATACATGTTTGTACCCGCCACATACGTAATTCCTCTTGGTTCCGCAGGGTTGATCAGGTGTACTACCCTGGAGGCTGTAGCTCTCAACGTCCACACCATTAATAACATAAACACTGAGCAGCTGTTTGAGAACCTCGTCACCAGTGACAACTCTGCCATCATCACTGGTAAGACGTGCGACTGTATTCCTGAAGGAATTTTAAGCTCTGTTCCTGACCCATCCTTTTTCTTATGAGAGGGCTTAAAGGCGAAAAATATGAAAATAATTTTCAGAACAAGTTTGTGTAGTTTTCTTAGTGGTTGAGATAAGTTATTGCGTAAAAGCACTACTGAAGGCAAGATGAAAGTAATGAGTCTTGGTTTTGAGTTTGCGGTTTTTAATTTTCAATTTACTAGTCTTCCCTTTAGGGTGAAAATTTGTCCAAAAAATTTAGTATACAGATATGTGGTGATAGATCAGAGACCCGGCATGTGCTGGTAATTTTAGTTTGTTCCCTTGAAAGCCATTCAAAATGTATTATAATTTTTTAAACTATTGAGTAATTTTATAAATGGTCAAATGGCCAAGAATTTATATTTGTAATATGCGGGTGAACTTTTTTTGGATGTCCGGAAACTTAGCGGTATTTTAAACTACAAATTAGCTCTCGATACAAAGGACTGAAATGCAAGTAAATCCTTATTTTCCTTAACCCTAACGATTTGAACTTTTTGCTTACTGCCCTGGCAGCTATAACTTTCCCACACCCTTCCCCAAAGGAAGCATTATACCCGTTTCATACACCACCAAACCGAAAATTGAAAGGCGTCGAACTTTTGGGGGCTACCTCTTCTGGCTCGAATTCTCCCCTCTCCAAGTTCTTAGGCTTTTTTTCAGAAGAAAGTGCAGGGGGGGATTTTCAACGCATTTTTCAATATTTGGGGTCTTGGGGCTTTTTTAAAACATGGAAAAGTCCCCCCAGTTTGAGAGGTAATATATTCCCTTTGGGGTTTTAATGACTGCTGAAAAATTTTTAAAAGGGGAAATTTACTGAATTTTGTTTTCGGTCTTCGATTTTTCAAGTTTCTAAAATTGACCAAAAATTTGGGAAAATGCATATTAAAGATGGTCTGGTTTTTCAATAACACATTTTAGTGTAGTTTCAGGGTTTTTTGTAGGTAAACTTTAAATTTTAGCCCTTTTAAATTTATAAAACCGTTTATAGGGGAATTTTTTTGCATGAGGCTAAATAAATTTCCACAGCGGTTTTTTTTTTATCTCCTATGACTTAAAAAAAAATTTTTTATTTCCCGGAGGGTTTATCACCCAGGTTCAGGTTCGGACGTCTGGGCCCTGAGGGGTTTGGGGGGAAAGTAGAGGGGTGTGCTGGGGATCGGAAAACCTACAAATTTTCCCCGGCCTACCCATTTCCCCCATGATTGGGCCCATCTTTAAAAAATTCTAATGTTTGGGAAGACAGCTTCTTTTGTGGGAAACTCTTATGTGCAAAGTTTTTGGACTAAGGATAAACCTTGAAACACTGGAAATATTTTCCCTTTTTGAAAAAGGTTTCCCTCACAGGCCTCTGCCCCCCCCTCTCCTTTTCATTTAAATTTACCCTTTCGCCTCTTTTAACATACTGTAGAGGCAAATTTTTTGCTTTTTCCATGTTTGGGTTTTGCCTCTAAAAAAATGCTCACAATTTCATCGCTTTTCCCAAACCTGGGGAATAAGGACGAGTTTAGCATCCAACGTGAGTTGGAAACCCGGGTTTTGTCCCCACCCACCAAAAATTTTCGTCTTTTTCAACCCCCGGGGGACACGTGGGGCTAGAATTCTGCAATTTTTGGGGATTTAAAGTAACAAATTTTTTAGAGTATTGCCGTTTTTTTGGTTTTTTCTTGAAAAGTCGGGCCTCACCTTTTACCTGAGCGGGCACTGCATAAACCTGTCTGAGACTTTCCCCCAAAATTTTGCAAATTAAAGAAAGGCGAATGTTTGGGGCTAAATTTTCCCCTTTCTGTTCCCCAGGAACCCCCCAACTCTCCCCTTTAAACCCGGCCGTTTCGCCTCTACCCAAGGGCGGGGCATTTGTAGAGGTGTATTTTGCTCCCCCCGTTTTGGGGAAACTCGAAATGTGAGTTCCGCAAGTGCTCCCAGATTTGTAGTAACTATATGCATGGGGAAAAATTACGCTGACTTGGGAACATTGTGCTACCATCAAAACCTACTTTAGGTTTAAAAAAGAGTGGGGGAAATGTCGGGGCCCTGCTGGGTGCCCCCTTAAAAAAGGCACTATAAGCCCCGCATGCCCATTACACCCATACTGCTGGTGTCTAGTGAGGTGAAACGCCCCTTTTCCTCAAATTTCCTACCCACCGGTATCCCTTAACTCGTCGCCATTATCTACATATGGGTTTAAGGGCGATTTTGGGTAAACCGGGGCCCAAACAGCGCTCCAAGCCACCCAAAGTAAAGGGCCCAAGGGCTACTTTCTTTTCTGAAATCCCAAAATTTGCCTTTGTGAAACTTTTTCAAACAGTTTTCCCGGGCCTTTCCCTTTTCCGGTTTTGGTGAAACTAGTTTCTTATGTGGGGAAAAATTTGTCGGTCATTCCAAAAACTTGTGTAGATTTTTTAAGTGCTGGGGGGTTTTTGGAGTAATTAAAAAAAGTATTTACGGGGTTGGTAACTCTCAAAAAAACGACTGGGGCCCCAAGGGAATGCCCTTTAAAAAATTTGCCCCTGCGAATGCAGGCCACACACCCATTTTTCCCTGTGCCCCTAGCGAGGTAAAAACCCCCTTCCCTTTTGTCCCTTCTCCTTTCCCCTTGATTTGGGAAAACTAAAGGCCTTTTTTGCCTCTATTTGCTTTTGGTTAGGGGGCGGTTTTTTGCCAGACCAAAAGGGGGTGTTTTGATCCCCAAAGCCTCTTGCCGCACTCCCGCTATCTTGCGAGGGGCCCTCCTGTGGGGCCCTTTCCCTGCCGGGCTGAAAAAGGCGGGTGCCCGGGGGGGGTTTGGGCCGGGGGGCTTGGCGAGCAAAGTCAAGAAAGTTTGGGAAGGGGGGAGCACTAAAAGCTAGCCAAAGAACAAGAAAAGGCAGCCTGCATTTATAGCTGCCCTGGGGCCCCACCCAGTCTGTGAAAAGTTTTTGCAGTGCGGGCTTTGGGCAACCAGGGGTTTCCTGTAGTGGCTTTGATAAAATTTTTTGACGGGGCATTGAAAGTTCGGGACTTTTTGGGGAGGGGGAAAACCCAAGGTTTAATTTTTAAAACAAAGTAAGTTTGTGGGTTTGGGCCTTTACCCCAGGGGAAAAATTCATCTTTTCATACGGGTGTATAAGCGTTAATGTGTTTTCCCCCCCAAAAAGTTAATTGTCATTTGAAAGCCTTTTATAAAAAATTTAAAAGGCTCAGAGTTGCTTCAGTGTAGCAAACCCCCTTACTTTTGGGATAAAAAATCAGTGTAATAATGCCCCTTTTCTCATGAAAACTGAACTTTTTAAATCCGGTTTACATAATTAAGTTGCTTGTCCTATTTGGCTTGTTTGTTTTCTAAAACAATTTTCTCGTTCGGGACTAAAATTTTAAACTGCAAAATTCCCCCGGGAAATATTTAAATTTGGGCGTGTTCATCTGTTTTTTGGATTGTGAAAATTTTACTTTGTTTTTTCTGTTTTCCCAAGCTTACGGGTTTTGCTTTAATTTTTTAGTTTCATGAATACTTCCCTTTCTTGAGAAATTCGGTTACCTTTAAACCCGGGTTTTAAAGCAAGAGTCAGCCTTTTAAACTTTCTATGTTCCTTCCCTTTCCCCCCTAGGGGGGTTTACGCCTAGTTAAAATTGTAATAGTAACAATTTGCAATCATTATACTTTTAGTTAAAAATTGGTAAATTGTTTTAGACATTTTGATCAATTTGGATTTAGTTTTTGGAACTTTGATAAAACCCAATTTTAAAATTGACTGCAGACCGCACTGACAAATAATAAAAAAAAAATTAAAAAGGGCTGGCCCTTTCTACAGAAGCGGGGCCTAGGGGTTTGACTTTGAAAGTTGAGGGGTTTTTTATTTAGGGGACCACGGTGTACCCACTTTTTTAAAATTTACTTTCAAAAAAATTAAAATTCCCAAAGTGATAAAGGGGTAAAATTTGGAGGGTATTGGGTTTAAAACTTTGTAAGGGCATAGTAACGCGGGTGAAAGGGGTTTTGTTTTAAGGAAACTTTTTTCCCATTTTTAAACAGCTGCACACTTATGTTTGGGCATACATATAAAAATTTTGTAATGTTTTAGTTACCCAGGAGGGACCAAGCAAGCCCAAACCAGAGTAAATTTATCTAAATTGTCATTGTAACTTTACCTTTTTTTTTTTTTTATTTTTTTTTTTTTTTTTTTTTTTTTTTTTTTTTTTTTTTTTTTTTTTTTTTTTTTTTTTGGGTAAATACCTTTTTAACAATCTAGGGTTTTTGGGGGAAGGGGTTTTGCCCCTTCAGATTCATTGTGATGTCTGTATATTATTTTTTTCAGTGAGGTACATTAGGTGGCAGTACCTTAAAACAAAACCCCAAGGGGAAAAGTTTTTTTCATTGAATTTAAACCTAAAGTTTTAATTGATGTATAAACCAAAAATTCAAATTTTTTATTTGCCAATATTGCCCTATTTGGGGTCTCTCTCTCTCTTTTTCTTTCGCCCCCCCACTCTCTCTCTCCCCTCTCTCCCTCCCCCACTTTCCCCCCCTCTCTCTCCCCTCTCTCTCTCTCCTCTCTCCCCGTTCCCCTCTCTCTCTCCTCTCTCTCTTCTCTCTTTTAAATCTTTTAATTTGTGAAAAGGGTTGAAAGACCTCCCCTTTTCCCCATCCATTATTTTCATTATATTTTACCATTTTATTAACACACATAAAAGGGAGGTCCTCTGAGTTGTTTTTGGGTGGGGTTTGTGTCGTATTGAGTGGTGGGGGTTTTCGGGGTTGGTAGGGTTTGGGGAGGTTTTTCCTTTAAAACTTGCCCCCTTGGGGTCTTGTGAAAAAATTTTGGACTTCGGACTTTGTGGTGAATATTTGCTTTGGGCAAACTAAAAGGGAAAGTAAGCGAGGAATTTTTGTGTTGTGAGCCCTTAAAACCAGAAAATCACAGGAAAAACATGGCAACGTCAAAAGGGGAAAAACTTTTTTTTGCGGGTGAGGGA